TAGTTCGCGGAAGTTAGGCTGGTGTAGAAGAGTTCCGATTTTGAGGGGAGATAACTCACTTTTGAAAATGGACAATACACATGACAAATTATAATACGTGTTTATATGAATTAAATTAATTTTTGCATTCAAAGAAAGATTTACATGTATATATAAGTCAAAGTAAAATAATATAGTTAATATCCTTTCAGTACTTGTGGTACTATGATTTTATTGACTGACAGAAATAAGCTTCCATAGGCAACTTATTGTATACATTGATGTTTATGTGTAAGAAAACATGCCTGTTTATACTACATACATGTACATGTACACTTTAGTGAGAAAAAGGTTGGTATCAAAATCAGTCCTCTCAGTACTTTAGGTACTTTGATTTCCCTTGCAATTATGTTATCTTACTCCTAATATAAATGAGTCTGTATGTTTTGATTTTTGTATGCAGAAAAACATGTAAATGTAACCTTCTTGTAATTAAAAGTAAAAATGCCCCTTTAGTACTTTCAGTACTTTGATTTTATAAATGCAAAACGAAAGTAGCCGAAATCTTCAAAACGTGTGATCTGATTTTAAAACAAATTATATATTTGGCTATTGTGGACATATCTCTATTATACCTAGAAATATCTTGAAAAAATTATTTAAAACAAAAAAGTCGAAAATTGACCGAAACACAAATTTACTTCCGGTTCGGACAGGAAGTAACGGAAACACACGAAAACTACGTCAAAACAAAGAGAATGTGATGATCTAAGAGTCCCGTAAATTTCACATTTTTACCATTACCTGTTCTTGAGAAAAATTCTGGACAAAAGTCGATTTGAAATTTGGAAATTCGGCCATAACTTCGGACCGGAAGTGAATATTTCAAAAAACGGAATTTTATATAAACTTCATATATCGGCCTACTTACATGTGAAAAATTGTGAAAATCTATCCAACCATCTCTGAGAAATCGCGCTCACAAAATTTGGGAGGAATAATAATAATAAAAAGAAACAATACAATCCCTATAAGTCTTCCGTTGTGAACGGAAGACTTAACTAACAAAGAAGGTCTTCCGTTCTCCTCTATTAATCTGTATGCAGGATGTTTTTTTTTCTATTTTAAAAAAGACAGACATATAATAAACTAGTAGACTTATTGTTCAGCGAACAGTTATCGGCCTTTCCACCTTTATAAGCATTTCGATATCATTTGGGCTGAAAAAAGTAGAAGAAAAGCAAGAAAAGAAATAAAACAGCAAAATTCTCATTTCTCTACTAGGATTTTAGATCGGGCTCGCAGTTGGTATAAATATACTCTAAACAGACTTCCTGGATTATACGAGTCGACTCGGGGATAAGCACGGATTCATTGATCACACAAAGAGAGCACGTTCAAAACATTGTAACACGCTCCTAGGTGTATATATGAGCTTGAATGAGATTGTTTTCGAGTTAAGATGTAAGGGTGTAGGGTCTGATTAAAATTACGATATACCTAATAATATGAATAACATGCATTTGATCTGCGCATCAAGACGGACGCGTAAGTGGAAACGTTGTGAAATGTCCCATGTGTACCTGCATCATATGTGCATTATACATGTATTAAAGAGATGTTTGAAAATATCCGATTTGAGTTGTTTTATGTTTGAAATGGATGACGATAAATTATTTATGAGCATGTGAGAAACATGAGCGAGAGATGCAAGGCAGTTTGTAATTATAGAAAAGGAAAACAGAGAATCGGGTTCGGATTTTAACATTCCTGACCGAAATAGGTATGGAATATGTGTGTGGATTAAATTCATTGTAAGTAGCATACATAAAATTCCAAACATGTATTTCTAGATGGGAAACACAGGGAAGAAACGTGTATTGCATTTTACTATGCTGAAAGTCGCTATTTCTTATAACATTGTGTTATTCTAGAAAAAAAAATCAAATTTCAAATGAAATCAAGATTCATTCAATTAATATTAAATCTAAATAAAATTGAAATAAATTCCACATACCAAAGAAAACTAGAATACTTGGTATTAAAGTGTCGTATTAGAGCAGAAGAATCGAATGACATTAACAACAAATGGAAAAATAGCCAATACAAGCTTTAATTCTTTTTATGCCCATCAGAATTTAAATTTCAGACAGAAAAAAAAATTGCAGTTTTTGCCGATAATCCGTAGAATTTCATTATGCTCAAGAGACTCACCATAAAACTCTTAGGACACTTTCTTTAAGGTGTCTTCTACTAAAATCCTCAATCTTATGTCGATCCGTGGTGTCTTTTCAGAGGTAGAAGTTTTTTCTATGTTGCTTTTGATTTTTTTTAAGGGACGGGAGGAGGGGGGTATTTTATAAGCATTTGTTAAAATGAGAGTTGTTAATAACTCCACATACTTAAGCTTGATTGTGACCTTTGTGTCAAGGGTCAAAGGTCAAGGTCATTTATCAAGGTCAAAGGTCATGAGAGAGAGAGAGAGAGAGAGAGAGAGAGAGAGAGAGGTAAACTTGAGATTAACACTTGAAGCTTAATCTAGATAAAGGTAATGAATATTTCTTTATTACTTTTTGAGTAAGGGTCAAAGGTCTGATTTTGAGGACAAGAAATCACGTGACCTGAAGAAAGTAAACTTTAAAAAAAGGTATTTGAGGTTACTCTAGACATTTGCAGTCTGAATAAAATTTCACAAAATCATTTTAAATACTTTTTTTTATAAAAGATATTTATGGGATAGTACGATACTCAATTTATGCAGTTTTTCTCTCATAATTGGAAGTCGTCGTTTTTGTTTCCAGTGGGACTACATATCTCGAAACTGCTATAGATGCTATAAGGTAATACTAAGAAAGATTCCATAAAGAAAAGTTTAAAATTTTGATTTATTTGATCACTTTTTGTGACAACCGGAAGTGACGGCGGACAATCTTAAACTCAAAGGATGTGTCTAGTCATCAAGGTCTACCATCCCTATTAATTTTGTGTCTTAATCTCCTACCGTATACGAGATCTACCTATGATAACTTCTGATTTTGAGGACAGGAATACACACCACCGGAAGTTAATTTTACTGAGATATTAGACTTTACTGTAGACATTTGCAGTCTGAATTACATATATAAAAATCATTACAAATACTTTAACTATAAAAAAATTTAAGGAAAAAAAGATACTCAAATTATGTCCTTTTTCTCTTTTAACCGGAAGTTGTCATTTTTGTTTCCGTTGGGACTGATACATTTCGAAACTTCAAATAAGATGCTATTATGTGATTCAAAACAAGTTTCAAAAAAGAAAAGTTGATTTTTTCGACTTATTTGATCACTTCCCATGACGACCGGAAGTGACGGCAGACAATCTTACCCTAAATGGTTTTGCCTACTAATCAAGATCTATTACTCATATAAGTTTGGTGTCTTAATCTTTTACTGTTTACGAGATCTTGCTATGATAACATCTGATTTTGAGGACAGGAAGTCATGCGACCGGAAGTGAATTTTACTGAGATATTATATATTACTGTAGACGTTTGCAGTCTACATAATATTTCCAAAAATCACTACAAATACTTAATATATAAAAAACATTTATGGGAAAGAAAAATTCTCAAAATATGTTGTTTTTCTCTTATAACCGGAGGTTGTCGTTTTTGTTTCCGGTGATACTGATATATTTCAAAACTACAAATAAGATGCTTTAATATGCTGCAAAAAAAGTTTCAAAAACGAAAAGTTGAAAATTTCAATTTCTTTGATCACTTCCTGTGACGACCGGAAATGACGGTGAACGATCTTAACCCATATGAGTTTCCTTACTTATCAAGATCTATTACTCATTCAAGTTTGGCGTCTCTATCTCTTACCATTTCCGAGATCTCTTTGTGATAACTTCTCGTATTGAGGACAGAAAATCACGCCACCGGAAGTGAATTTTACAAAGATATTTGAGGTTACTGTAGACATAAGCAGTCTATATCACATATCTAAAAAGCACTACAAATACTCTATGTATAAAAATATTTATGGGAAAGAAAAATACTCAAATTATGTAGTTTTTCTCTTATAACCGGAAGTTGTCGTTTTAGTTTCCGGTGGAACTGATATATTTCAAAAATACAAATAAGATGTTCTAATGTGATGCAAAAAGAGTTTCATGAAAGAAAAGTTAAAATTTTTGATTTTTTGGATCACTTCCTGTGACGCCCGGAAGTGACGGCTGACGATCTTATTCCAACTGAATTTGCCTACTTATCAAGATCTATCACTTGTATAAGTTTGGTGTCTTAATCTCTTATCTTTTAAGAGATCTAGCTATGATAATTTCTGATTTTGAGGACAGGAAGTCACACGACCGGAAGTGAATTTTATAAAGATATTTGGCGTTACTGTAGTCATTTGCAGTCTGAATAACATATCCAAAAATCATTACAAATACTTGATCCATAAAAAATATTTATGGGAAAGAAAAATACTGATAATATGCAGTTTTTCTCTCATAACCGGAAGTTGTCGTTTTTGTTTCCGGTGGGACTGAAATATTTCAAAACTACAAATAAGATTCTATAATCTGATGCAAAAAAAGTTTCATTAAAGAAAAGTTGAAATTTTCGATTTCTTTGATCACTTCCTGTGACGACCGGAAGTGACGGCGGACGATTTTAACCCAAATGGGCTCGCCTACTAATCGAGATCTATTACTCATATAAGTTTGGTTTCTTAATCTGTGACCGTTTCTGAGATATGACTCAGACAAAAATATTTTGAAAAAAGCGGAAATCGGATATATCTGACGACCGGAAGTGAATTTTGAAAAACTGAAAACTGCATTTGAAAGATATTTTAATTGTCTATCATCTCTGAAAATTTCATGACAATCCATCCAGTCATCTCTGAGAAATCGTCGAAAACAAAAAGGGAAAAAAAAAATAATAATAATAATAAAAAGAAACAGTAGAATCACTATAAGGTCTTCCGTCTGAAACGGAAGACCTTAATAATAATAATAATAAGAAACCGAGTAAAAACAATATGTTCCCCAACTTCGTTTGGGGAACATAACTAGTGCTAATTGTAACGGGGACCGTTACAGATGTTCCCCAAACGCTCCCCAACTTCCTTTTGGTGCCACATTCCCTGTAAGCTTCATTAAATAAGACAAACTCTATGCATTTGAGGCTTTAACAACATTTACCCAGGAGAAAGTACCAAGTTCATTCAAATTTTAGAATTCCACGCGTGCGCTTGTGAATGCATGTGCGTAATGACCATATCACCTTGTCTATACAATCTTTATATTTGAATATACTAAATATTAAAGTAATTAATCCAAAAGTATTTTAAAAATACTCTCATTAAACTGTATTTTTGATTATACTCATTTCACGTGAAAGCACGTGCATACATGAGCATAATGACCATACCTTCTTGTAGAAGTCCATTACAACTATCTATGCTCTAAATCCCACCCCGTTTGGTTGAAAACCAAGGGAGTTATAGCTGTTTAAAGTTTCAGCCAATCAGATTGCAGTACACGCACGTGTATGCATATGCATGATGACCATACCATCTTGTAGAAGTCTATTATATCTATCTATGTTCCAAATCCCATCCTGTATGGTTGAAAACCAAGGGAGTTATAGCTATTTAAAGCATAAGCCAATCAGATTGCAGCGCATGTGCATGCACGCTTTTTCATGATAATTGCTATATATTTTATTGTAGGATATCCTAATACATGCCTATGTTTAAAATTTCAAAGGATTTCGTCATAAAACAACAAAGATATTGAGACTTTTGTTTCAGCCAATCAGAGCAAAGCGAACGTGCATGCGCGTGAGATCTTGGTTTTTTGACCATGTCATCTTGTCTATGCTTCTAATATTTACTTATAATATGAGTTTCAAAGCATTTCATCAATAATTTAAATAGTTACGTCTGTATCAATTATGTTGGACATTTCTCATGTTGCACGTGCGAGCTCTTGCAAGCACACGTGCATGCACATGCTTTCATGAAAAATCTTATATTACAGGCTGTAGATCTCCCTAATGTATGACTATGTTCAAAATTTCAAATGATTTTATCAAAAAACAAGAAAGATATAGAGACTTTAATTTCAGCCAATCAGAGCAAAGCGCACGTGCAAGCGCGTGCAATCTTGCTATTTTGACCATGTCATCTTGTGCATACTACTAATATATCCTTACATTGTGAGTTTCAAAACATTTTGTTAAAAAATAGAAAAGTTACGGTTTTATCCATTATATATTGGTCATTTCATGTTTTGCACGTGCGCGCTCTTGCACGCACGTGCGCGCAAAATGACCTTGATTCCGCAAATCTACATAACATGTCTACTGACCCTAAAAACATTTCACCTAAATCGGATGTGTTGTTTGCAAGATCATTCGCGGACAAAATTTTCCCGAGAAGAAAAATAATAATAATAATAATAACTAGAAACTCTTGTTGCTACAGCAACAAATAAGGTCTTCCGTTCACCTCTATTTATCTGTAAGAAGGATATTTTTCTATTTAAAAAAAAAACAAAACAAAATGCAAAAAAAAAAAAATATCAATTCCTCCATCTGAGCTCGATCCCAAAACCATTAGTATGAAAGTCGGACACGCTAACCATTGAGCCACCAAATTCCACAACATTTAAGATATTTTGTAAGCTTATTATTTTAAGGTTGAAGGAAATAGTTTCGAAGTGAAAGATATAGTTTCGTAGTAAAGTCCCGGTCAAATTTCTTAAAAAACTGAGATATTCCCTGTCTGATGTGATATTGTATGTAGGAAAATGATTAGAATAATTATGGGACACTTGCAGTGAAGCAATGACACTTAGCATATACAGAGTTGTAAAAGCGAAAGTAATACACGTGGTCAGTTGCAGAGGAAATTCAAAATCCCGGAAAAACAGTGAGTGAGTCATGGGCATTTTTTCAACACCATATCGTATCAAGCGGGGTAACTGCAATTGATTTAACCTATCTAAATTGCGTGGAAATTTAATTGATATGAAAATCACCATTTCCAAGATTCGATCGATTCATATTTTAATCTAAATAAAATTGAAATAAATTCCATGCACCCAAGAAAGTAAGAATACTTGGTATTAAAATGTCGTAATAGAGCAGAAGAATCGAATGATATTAACAACAATTGTAGAAATAGCCGATGCGAGCTTTAATTAATGTTTATGCTCAGCAATAACTAAATTTCAGACAGAAAAAAAATTGCAGATTTTGCCGATATTCACTACAATTTCATTATAGTTTAGAGACTCACCTTAAAACTCTCAGGACACTTTCTTTCAGGTCTCTTCTTGCTTTTATTCCGAATCTTATGTTAATATTTCGTGCCGTTTGGCTTGAAGACGTTTTCTCTACGTTGCTGTTGATTGTTTTGTTTTGTTTTTTTTTTTTAGAGAAGAGAGGGGATATTTTATAAGCATTTGTTAGAGTAAGAGTTGCAAATACCTCCACGACCTTAAGCTTGATCGTGACCTTTGGGGCCAAAGTACAAGGTCATTTATCAAGGTCAAAGGTCAAGGTCATCAGAGAGAGAGAGAGAGAGAGAGAGAGAGAGAGAGAGAGAGAGAGGTAAACTTGAGATAAACATCCTGAAGCTGAATCTAGATAAAGGTAATGAATATTTCTTTATTACTTTTTGAGTAAGGTTCAAAGGTCTAATTTTGAGGTTTCTCTAGACATTTGCAGTCTGAATAACATGTCCCAAAATCATTTTAAATACTCTTTTTATAAAAGATATTTATGGGATAGTAAGAAACTCAATTTATGCAGTTTTTCTCTCATAACCGGAAGTCGTCGTTTTTGTTTCCAATGGGACTGACATATTTCGAAACTACTAGTAAGATGCTATAAGGTAATACTACGAAAAATTCCTTAAAGAAAAGTTTAAATTTTTGATTTATTTGATCACTTCCTGTGACAATCGGAAGTTACGGCGGACGATCTTAAACTCAAAGGATTTGTCTACTCATCAAGGTCTACCATCCATATTAGTTTGGTGTCTTAATCTCTTACCGTTAACGAGATCTAGCAATGATAACTTCCGATTTTGAGGACAGGAAGTCACGCGACCGGAAGTGAATTTTACTGAGATGTTAAACATTACTGTAGACATTTGCAGTCTGAATAACATATCCAAAAATCATTACAAATACTTTAACTATAAGAAATATTTATTGGAAAGAAAAATACTCAAATTATGTAGTTTTTCTCTTATAACCGGAAGTCGTCGTTTTTGTTTCCGGTGAGACTGATATATTTCAAAAATACAAATAAGATGTTATAATGTGATGCAAAAAATGTTTCATGAAAGAAAAGTTAAAAATTTTGATTTTTTGGATCACTTCCTGTGACAACCGGAAGTGACGGCGGACGATCTTATTCCTACTGATTTTGCCTACTTATCATGATCTACCATTTATATAAGTTTGGTGTCTTAATCTCTTACCGTTTACGAGATCTAGCTATGATAACTTTTCATTTTGAGGACGGGAAATCACGCGACCGGAAGTGAATTTTACAAATATATTTGACGTTACTGTAGTCATTTGCAGTCTGAATAACATATCCAAAAATCATTTCAAATACTTTATCCATAAAAAATATTTATGGGAAAGAAAAATACTGAAAATATGCAGTTTTTCTCTCATAACCGGAAGTTGTCGTTTTTGTTTTCTGTCGGACTGATATATTTCGAAACTACAAATAAGATGCTATAATCTGATGCAAAAAATGTTTCAATAAAGAACAGTTGAATTTTTGATTTCTTTGATCACTTCCTGTGACGACCGGAAGTGACGGCAGACAATCTTACCCCGATTGGTTTTGCCTACTTATCATGATCTATTACTCATATAAGTTTGGTGTCTTAATCTCTTACCGTTTTTGAGATATGACTGGGACAAAACTTTTTTGAAAAAAGCGGAAATTGGACATATCTGACGACCGGAAGTGAATTTTGAAAAACTGAAAACTGCACTTGAAAAATATTTTGACTCTCTATCATCTCTGAAAATTTCATGAGAATCCGTCCAGTCATCTCTGAGAAATCGTCAAAACAAAAAGGGAAAAAAATAATAATAATAAGAAAAAGAAAAAACAGTAGAATCACTATAAGGTCTTCCGTCTGAAACGGAAGACCTTAATAAAAAGAAACTAGATAGTCTTGTTGCTACAGCAACAAATAAGGTCTTCCGTTCTTCAGACTTTTTTTATTTATCTGTAAGAAGGATATTTTTCTATGTAAAAAAAAAATAAAGGACAAAATGCAAAAAAAAAGAAGAATCCTCGATCTAGGCTCAATCCCAAAACCAGAATGAAAGTCTGACACGCTAACCACTGAGCCATCGAGTTCGACAACAAAAAAGGTTTTTTGTAAACTTATCATTTTAAGGTTGAAGGAAGTAGTTTCGTAGTACTCATTCTATAAAATATATTTATGGGATAGTATGATACTCAATTAAAAAAGTTTTTCTCTCATAACCGGAAGTTGCTGTTTTTGTTTCTTTTGGGACGGACATATAATATCGGAACAACAATTAAGATGCAATAGTGTGATGCCAAGAAGTATTCCTAAAAGAAAAGTTAAATTCATGATTTCTTTGATCACTTCCTGTGACGACCGGAAGTGACGGCAGACAATCTTATCTTAATTGTTTTTGCCAACTCATCAAGATTAACCACTTTATTTAGTTTGGTGTCTTAATCTCTCAACGTTTACGAGATCTAGCTATGATAACTTCTCATTTTGAGGACAGGAAATCACGCAACCGGAAGTGAGTTTTGCAAAAATTTCTTGACGTTAATGTAGACAGTTGCAGTCTGAATAGCATATCCAAAAATCATTACAAATACTTTATAAATAAATTATATTTATTGGAAAGAAAAATACTGAAATAATGTAGTTTCCCTCTTTTAACCGGAAGTTGTCTCTTTTTGTTTCCAGTGGTACTGAAATAATTGAAAACAACAAATAAGAAGCTG